TATATATATATATATATATATATATGTGCGTGTGTTTATTATACGTGAAATATTTTAAAGGAACAACAAAAAGTGAAAAAATAAATAATCAAATAATCTTATCGATTCACACACACACCACCAGTCATGACTTTAAATTACAAACGTTCAGTTTATTCAAACAATTAACTATACGATTCTAATCAAAATGGTTAAGTTAATTTTGTAATAATAATTACAAAGAAATTACACGAAAATTTAAAGAGAAAAAAAATACTTTTTCATATTTGAAATATATTTATTTATAAGATTAATAAATATTATACAAGGTGTCCGAGATTTTTCCGACCAAAAAGAAATACACATAAAATTAATAAAAATTTATTAATATAATGATGATAAAAATGATACCAAATTCGTTTCATAATGTTCATATTTTCTATTTCACATATATTAAATTTTATTCAAAAAAAATATTATAATACAAATTTATAAATGTTTCACACACACACACACACACACACGTTTGCATGGAATTAACAAAAAAACAATTGCCAAAAAAAAAAAACTTAATTAAATATTATTTACTTTATCAACGATCGAGACTCTAAGAACCCCTCCACCCCACCCCACCCCCCTTCCATATGTGAAATATAATTTAAAGATAATGAAAAAAAAAAAACTAGAAAAAAAGACTAGAAAAAAAATAAGGTGAAGACGAATACACACGAGTGAGATTTAATTAATTATAATTATAAATAGTTTGATTTTAAGATTGTTGATAAATATTTGTAGAGTAGGGGTGAGTTTAGCAAAAAAACCATAAAACTGTAAGATAAATGTAAGTAAAGTAATGATAAGACATTGTAGAAAAAACTTTGTAAGTTGTGCAATAAAAACCTGATTATATATATATAACTAGAAAAAAATATTAATGGAAAAAGAAGAAAAAAAAAACTAAGGTGGCTTTATTCGATAAAAACAATTTACACGTTGACCGGAAACGAAGGATTATACATAACCCGAATAGAATTCTTCTTCTGACTAATTTCCAAGTGAATTTCTTTGACCATGGACTTGGCACTGAACGAGAGAAACGCAAGCTTTAAACTATTTTAGATAGTTACTTTTGGCGTTTATGATAATTTATGTATCATAACAACAAAGTAGTTCATATATATATATATATATATATATAT